CCCCCCAAAAAAAGAAAGCCAGTGCAGCACAGACAAGCAAAAAGCTCATGTAAGATCGCTGCTCTGCTACCAGACATGAGCAGTACAACCATCCAATCTTTATTTCTGTCAGCAATCAATTTCAGTTGGGTATGTAAATCATATTTCTGTACAGAAATCCAATTCAATGTGCATTTTTTAGGTAGTTAGGACCTTGATGGTTACACAACTAACAATCTTCAGCCTGAAAAGTGTCAGGCTTGCATGTAGACTTGCCTGCATAATGTGTTTTGCCACTACATAGCTGGCGGACCTTTGGGAGCCCCAGGCACAGTTGGAACCACCGCCATGAATCTTGCGTTCCCATACCGGGTTGCTCTAGCTGATAACCAACAGCCTGTTAAATCTTACTAAATACCAGGATACCTTGATTTTGGCATTTTTCTAATTTGTACCACATTGTCAAAAAAAATTATAATTACAGTAAATCAACCTCAAAATCTGTTAGAATCCGAGTTATACAAGTAAAATCTCCCACATAGTGTAGTCAGTTTCTGTGTAATTGTGATCCTATTGGGGCACCAGTATCATTGTCACCAGGGTTTCCTGGTTGTTAAGTATTTCACTGTTCTAGCTGAGATATGCTGGCATTACACGGTAGTGCTTACCCATTACTGATTTAGTAATAGGGGAGGAAATCACATATAAATGGAATAGTGAATGAACAAGCTGTGTACAAAAGGAATTGTGAGAAAACCTGAGCTATCTGGCTTTTCTCATGGAAATTTGATTGATTGTTCCAAACCATTGGATTCCCATGTGTTATATCAGCCCAAGATGCTGTGCAAGACAGTTACTATTTTCTTAACTATGAACAACGCCATGATTGGTATGGTTTGCTTGATCCCTGTTGTTTTCCTATTACAAAGTAGTGTTACTTACCCTGGATGTCGGGGTACAGAAGCATGTATAATAGAGCCCATCTCAAGGTGGTACTTGTAGTCCCTGTTCCGGCAGTAAATAAATCATATGTTGAATACAAGAGATTTCTTTCAGTAAAACTGGACTCACTCTCTCCTCCTTTCTCGACCTAAAATAAGAGAGAATGTTAGAAAGAAACAAATTATATATATATATATATATACATATCTATCTATCTATCTCCCTATCTTGTTTGTATTGTGTGCATCCTGCTTCAATGGTCTTGTTTTGCATTACATTTTGGTAAAAATTGCATTACCATTTGGATTGTGTCCCATTTTAAGTCATATCTTTTTGAAAAATAGGCATTAATCATTTGAATATACTTATTACACACAAAATAACACTGTAAGAAAATGGCATACCAGTTCAGCTGGTGTTAAGATTTACTCAACTATTTAAGCATTAAAGTAGCATCTTTTGTTAAAGGATATGTAAACCCTAACAGTGAAACAGTGAACCTCTTTTATTTGCTCCCTTTTGGTCTGGTAAACATACTTTTGAAAGTGTTTTTATAGCTATTTGCGAAGTACAAAAAAAACCTGTCGAGCCTTCCAGAAATCCAGTGCTCTTCTTTATCATGTCCACCAGTGCACACTGCCTGAGCTGCTCTAAAAAAATCTTAAACATTGTTATCAGCCCTGCCCAGTTCTCCTTTGTAAACTACAGAAGACCTCCCCCTAAGAGAGCACCTCCCCCTATGGAAATAAGGAGATAGGGTGGTATTTTGTAGTCCAAATCAGGAGTGAGTAGTCAGTGATAATTCTGCTCTGTCATAGATACAGTACAGCAAGTTAGCATTGATACTCTAGGACATGAAGTCTGTTACTGGGGCAAAAAAAAAAGTATTGAAAAGGAAAACTGATGCATCCCCCACATCTAGGTGAAGGGAGTGCACTCCACCCAGGTACAGCCAGCAGCAGAGCACTGTGGGATTACAAGCAACCCTGGCAGATTAGATTGATATCCCACCTGACACTGCATATTTTTGGCACTGACATCACTTGACAGACTAGTGATGGGCTTGAGGTTCGAGCCGAACATGAGTTTGACTCAAACATCAGCAGTTTGTGTGTTCAGCGAACACACACACTGTCAGGGCGTTCAGCGCCCGAGTGCCCCACAAGACACTGTGCCTTGTGAGCCCACAGGTCAGGTGCAAGACTTTGCCCAATCAGGGCACAGAGAACTGTGAGAGCCATGATTGGGCAAAGTCATGAACAGCCATCAATCTTGCATGTCAAACAAAAAAAACAGGTGCATGACTAAATGAATACCAATATATAATGAGTGTAATGTAGTGGTATTTCTTCCACAATAATCCTTCAAATCAATTCCTTCAAACAGTTCCCAGTAGTGAAAAATAAAATAAAAATAAAACTTGATGAAATCATGTTCCCCTAATATTTTTTTCCGTGCTCGAGATCGAGAGTTACATAGTTATATAGTTACATAGTTACATAGTATTTGGAGTTGAATAAAGACATACGTCCAATAAGTCCAACCCATATAGGTCCACGCATCATCTCATTCTTAGGGTTACTTGTATCCCTGGATATTACGGTCCCTCAAGAAATTGTCCAAACGTTTCTTGAACAAATCTACACTCTTGGCTGAAATCACTGCCGATGGCAGTGAGTTCCAGACCTTAACCGCTCTTACTGTAAAGAACCCTCTTCGCCCATTGTGCTGGAAATTGTTCTCCACCAACTCTAGGTGGTGGCCTCTAGTCTTTGTAATGGAGTTTGTTGCCAATGTTGCTGTCACCATTGAACATCTTGTACATGATCATCAAATTGTATTTTTAGTTTATTTTTCACTACTGGGAACTGTTTGAAGGAATTGGTTTGAAGTATTATTGTGGAAGAAATACCACTACATTGGACTCATTATATATTGGTATTCATTTTGTCACGCACTTGTTTTTTGTTTTTTTTTGTTTGACATGCAAGATTGATGGCTGTTTGAAGATGGATACAAAGTATTACATGGTTGACATGTAGTGATAAATTGCATATCGGGAATATAGGTGACATGCAAGGAATTGGCGCACACACACAGGAGATTGAATACATCACCTACATACATACATACATATATATTGAGTATGAAAAATGGAGACATTTAGCACGAGAAGAGTTTCTGGCCCTAGCGCAACATAGTAGAAGTTTAAATAAAGAACCAGGTAGCCAAAAAATTTAATTATTCGAAGATTCCCTATTGTAAAGGCTATATTAATTTTAACAAATGGTTAAAAAGGTGAAAATTCAGCTATGTCCCTTCCTTCCCCCATTTAGAATGGTGTGTTGCAATGCTTTTGGGTCTTACTACTGGTCAATTTATGTGATTGTTCTTAACTACTATTTTCTGACACATTTTCTTTTTCTGAATGTTGTACTATTTATTTCACCTTTTCCATCTCCAGTAAATAAGCATCAATAAAATCACGGATATAATGGGGATTCCAGCTTTTCTTGTGTTCTGAAATAATTTCCTTTAGGAAAGCCATTGATTCACGATCTGGCTGAAGAACATGGTCAGCTAGCCAAGGAATATTCAGCAGCCAAGGAACTTCATTTAAAACCTAAACAAATAAAACCAAAATAATATTTTATATCTGCTTAATAATAAATAATATAAGGTTAAACCTATTTTTGGTTATTATTTTGAATAATAGAAGTAATCATGGTATTTGGGATTTTGTTGCATGCGCTTTCTCTCTTGTTTACTGTAATTATCTAGTCACTGCTAACTTGCTTTTCAAGATTCATGCTCCAAGATGCACACTTGTTCATGCTGCACTACCTACTGAGCCACTGACACAGAGAAAGCATGTACATACTTGTCAGTAATGGTAGTTCTCATATGACTGTCCTAATAGGTTCTTTTCAATATAAATATAAAGTAACATTGACTCCTATAGGGCGGGAGCTATACATTAAAATCCACTTTTGAGGTTAGACCCCCTAAT